CATATAAAAATAAGGAAAAACTAATTTAAGGAAGGAGGGCACTAGTGGCTGTATTTAATCAAGATGTCAGTGTATATGGTCATCATTTGCACTTTTAAAAAATGACTCGGATGGATTCTGTGATGATCTGTGTGATGTTGGGTCTTGTCTCCCTGGGCCTCAGTTTCCTCACCTATAAAATGAGAGGGTTGCACTAGATGACCTCTGAGGTCTCTTCCAGATCGTGATTTATGGTCCTACCAAACCTTGCAGACCTTTCCCAACTGACCATGTGCATTATACCAATGGATTGTTGAGTTAGAAACCTTCTGGTTAAGACTGGTCGTGCAACCAAGCTCTCACCTAAGCGAAATCAACTTTCATTCCAGGCAGATAGCTCAGTAAGGGGAAGAAAGAGGGAAATGGCTGGGGGGTTGCACGGGAATTCACTAAGTCCCCAAAGAAGGTGCAAGTAAATAGCACAATGCATAGAGAACTGGGACTGGAGTCAGGAAGACATAAGTTCAAACCCAGTCTCAGACATTTACTCACTGTGTGACCCTGGGCAAGTCATTTAACTTCTCTTTCTCTGTTGTCTCAACTGCAGAATGGGGATAATAATAGCACCTGCATCACAGGGTTGTTGTGTGGATCAAATTGGGTAATATTTCTAAAGTGCTTAGTGCATTACCTGGCACATAGTAGGCACTGAATAAACAAATGTTCTCTTCCCCTCCCCTCGTGCTCCTTCCCTCTCTTCTATGGATGGGAAAGTATGGATGGGTTGTGACCTGCCTTGGTTTAGAGAGTCCATCTGGATGGAACCAAGAATCCATTGAAACATACTGAACTGGGGACAATTAGGTGGCAAAGTGGATAGAGCACCGGCCCTGGATTCAGGAGGACCTGAGTTCAAATCCGGCCTCAGACACATAACACTTACTAGCTGTGTGACCCTGGGCAAGTCACTTAACCCCATTGCCTAGCCAAAAAAACCCCCCAAAACCAAAACAAACCAAAAAACATACTCAACCAAAGGGTATGTACAAAATCACCCAAGCTCCTGACAAATAAGCTTTACTTCCACGTTCCTAGCGTCCCCCATTCGTTTTTGGCTGTGCCACCTGAGATGCCCACTCTTTGTTTTGTGTACATTCTTTTGAATTGGCTTTGATAGATGCACTAAAGCTTTATGGAAATTCTCTAGGGAATGGAACCTCCCTTAAGCTGTTGGCCCTCCTAACTGTGGTACATGAGCCAAGGACACTTTTTGAGCCTAGATCTGCCCTTTCTGCTTCTAGGATCGAAGTCTCTTAGCATTGGATTCATGAACAAAGGGCTCCAGAAAACCCCCCCAAAGGAAGGATAACTTCCCCTCTCTGCAATGTGAGTTCAGAGGTTTGGGAAGTTACTGGCTCTCTTAGCATCATGAGCACATATGGCTGCAGCTTAGACTTAAGCTGACACCATAATAGGGCCTGCCAGGGTGAGGGAAACATTTAACCTGGGTCTAGGAAGCTTTATTCTTTCATTCCTGGGAGTGCGCAGGAAGTCCATTCTTTGGGAAACTCCTGGTGTTCCAGTTCTTTCCACTAATGCCAATCAATACAAAGGGCTTGTCGATAATTAAGAGTCCTCAGGAGATGCCTGGGGCCCAGAGAAGTTCTGGGAAGTGCATGCTCACATAACTCGGAGGTGTCCAGGGCAGTACATGTGCAGTAGAGTTGAAAGGAGGCTGGATTTGAGGCACAGGATCCGAGTTGGATTATTTTCTGCTTGGCCCCAGCAGGCAGAATTAAGCACTGTGAGCACAAGGGTGGATTTAGGCTTCAACCAACGATTCCAGCAGCATTTAGTTCTTGCCACGTGCCTGGAATGGTGCTAAGGCTTATGTGGGAATTTGAGTGGAAGGCTCTTTCACCTACCACTTGTGCGGCCTTTGGGAAGTCTCTTAACTTTGTTGGGCCTTGATTTACTCATCTGTAAAATGAGAGGTTTGGACTAGAACAGGGTTCTCATTTTCTTTTGTCATGGACTCCTTGGCAGACTGATGAATCTTAGGGACCCCTTCTGAGAATAAGGTTGTTAGATGGATAAAATAAATAGAATTTCAAAGGAAACAAAAACATTAAAATAAAGTTACTAAAATATTAGAAAAAAAAAACAGGACCTTAGGCTAAGAACCCCTGACCTAGATGATGTCAGAAGTCATTTCTAGCTCTTAACAGGTAGTTCTATGGTCTAGGCTGTTCTGACTCAAATGCTGTCCTGTCTACTCTTCCATGCTGCCTCACTTTGACTGACTAGAAAATGGAAGGGTTTGAAGGCAATGAACCTCTAGTCTTTGACTTTTCTTGTGGGATCAGTGACTGACCAATAGAAGGTAGTACGTTCTCAGCTATGATCCCGTGCTCTAGACCCTGGTACTTCAATGCTTACTTTGAAGCTAACAAAGAAACATTTTTTTGGGGGGGAGGGTGTCATGTACATTTCCCTGTGTAAACACCTTCCCCAATAAACCAGACATTCTAAACTGACTTAAATGAAGTCAGCTTTTACTCAAAACCACCTTCAGTGCCAGTGGATTGCACTTGAAAAGTTAACAGAACAGAGGAGTTCTTCCCCAGGCAGGTAGCAGAGGAGATCTGTGCAAATAACAATGATGCCAACATTAGCCCTTGAGCAGGAAAGAGGTCTTCCTTCCTGCTGCCTTTGCAACCTGTGGCATCCCTGGGTATTTTTTTCACCAGCAAAGTAAAGCCCAGTTGGGTCCTTATTTTTTTTTTTTGAGCATATAATCATTGCAAGTGCCAGAATAGTGAGGGATGGAAGTACTTTCTACATGAGCATTTGAACAGGAAAACCAGATAGGTAAACTGATGAGAGAAGAGGGTTTCTTTTCCAATTTGCATCTTAAAAAGAGTCCAGCACATTCCAGGAGAAAAGAAGACACGGGGTTGGTCGATTTCTGGGGCACAGATATCAAGAAACCAGCTTTTGCGATGGAACTGATCTGACTATGACTTATGGCCATTATAACCGACTTTTCTTCCATCCCAATCCCCCATCCCTCTAGAAATCTTAATAGGCTTTTGAGAGGCACCATTTAAAACTGGCTGCATAAAATGATCCCTTGATGAAAAGGGATTGAAACAAGGGTTAAAGTAGACATCGAGAGGTTATTGTAGAGGGCACAGTGTTCATACAATCCCCCTTTAATATGTGTGGTGCGCCCCTGCGATAAGATGATTCATTAGATAAGGGCTCTCTTTGACAAGCTCCATCGTTCAACCTTCTGGGTACTGATAGAACAATTCTGCACCCACCCAGGAAATAGAACAAGGTCAGCATTTTTTCCTTGGCCCTTCTATGCGGGCATTTTAGCTACGATTGCATCTTTGTTTACTCCTCATGTATAATAAAAACAAAGTTGGAGGCAGCAGGATCCCCTTTGCCCCAGAATGCACTAAGTAAGCTTTTAGGTGAGCAAAAGTCTCTGTCAGGAAATATTTTTGTAAAGAAGGGACTTCTTTGAGCTTATCATCTCCGAATGAACAGCAGAGAACTGCAGGGGTCTCACCGAGGATGTTTACACCTGAATTTGGTCATCTCATCTCAGGGGAAAGTCTGATAGCAGCTTGAACATAGGCTCCAGTTGAATCATAGCATGTTGGTTTATTAGGATGATAAGCCCCATGATTAGGAAGCCTCGTTAATGCATTTGTTGTCATGATTTGTGAGCTTCCTATGGCTGTGAAATGGACATCAACGTTAACCCGGTGACAAATGATCATTGGCCCCCATAGATGGGCTGGTGTTGATGATGATAAAAGAGTATCAGAAGCAGCAGAAGGGACATGAGAGAAGCAGACAGGATAGAGCCAATTGGCAGATGGCTTGGTTATCTCTACTCCTTTCCCTTTCTTCTTTCTTAAGATTACATATATAATATTTCTATATATATATTTTATGAAAATTCCTTGATTAAAAAGTGTGTTTCTGTGAGGAAGTGAGGTGGTGCAGGTAGTGATGGGCTTGAAGTCAGTGCCCCATTGGATTGTAAGCACCTAACGTAGGGACTATCTTTTATTTCTTTTTTTTTGGTATCTCCTGCACTTAGCACAATGCCTGGCACATAGGAGATCTTTAACAAATATTGAGAAATGGAAGAATTGGACTTAAATCTTCCTTCCGGTGCTTTTTTCTGCATCATTTTGGGCAGCTCACTTAGCTTTCCTGGATCTCAGTTTCTTCATCTGTTACATGAGGGGTTGGCCAGGAGGCCTCCGAGATCCCTTCTAAATCAATGAACCTTCCGCCCTTGAGCCTAGGACTCTTGAATATAATTTAACTTACTTTGTGCCTTGAGCAATTGCTTAGCTAGCATCAATCCCAGGTGCTCTGTGTTCTGCATTAAGCAGAAGACTTTCCAAATCCAAGAGTTCCCAAAGCTGGCAAATTCACAGAGTCTTTGTGTGTGTTTCTGTACTGAAATATTACTTCTTCAATCAGAGACAAGAGTGTCTTTGGTTGGTCGGTCAGTTGGTTCTGTTCTGGACCACTGATATCAGCAGTGGGGGAATCTCCTGATGTGAGTTGCCTTCCATGGACACAGACCAATGACTCCTGTGTGACTTAGAGTCATAGAGCTTTCCTTGGGGGCACTGGGCAGAGAAGTGCCTGGGCCAAGGTCACACAGTTGCCAGAGGCAGGGCTTGGGTGCTGGTCTTCCTGACCCTAAGGGGGCCCCTCTCTGCACTGCCTCATGTTGCTTCTCTTAGGGATTAGGTGGATAGTAGAAGAGCCACCATCGACCCCGGGGGCAGGGAACTCTAGGTTCTAAAAGAGAAATGACTTTTCAACCCTTTTCTCATTCTTGGTGTGACTAGCAAACAATGCTCATTTGCCTCCAGAATTGTGGTCGCATATCATCGTCATGCAAAACAAAAACCCAAAGCAAACATTTCCTTTCCCAGATACAGCTGCCATGAGAAGTCCCTCCTCTCCCAACTCCCACTCACCTGTCCTTGGGCATTAGTAACTAGTTGGCCTGTGACCCCCTGAAGGCTGGAGAGTGCATTGCCAAAAGCCTGTGAGCTCGCTATGGAGCTCATGGTTGCTGCTGCTGCCGCAGCTGCTGCCGCTGCCTGACTTGCTAGTGGGTTATTAACCAGCTGAAAAGAGAGAAAAGATTACAGTGAAAACCACTGAGGGTTACAGGAAGAGAAAACGGACACAACACTTACAGGAGATAGCCCGCATGCTCACTCTGCAGTAGCACCTTTCTGCAGAAGGAGTTGGCTGGGTTGGAAGTATTGAAAATAAAATACCCGACTGGCTGCAGGTTCCTCATCTGGCTGAGGTGGAACTAGCCCAGGGCCACTGGTACGTTGTCCCAGGGTGAGGATTTTAGAAGGCGTGAAAATGTAATGTATCTTGTTCTTTAGCAGAGCAGAAGAAGATTAGGAGAGCTTGAGATCATGTTTAATGATAAGTAGGAAGGAGAAGGTCTGAGTTGGTGAGGTGATGGGGCCTGCTTGCGCCCTCCCTTTTTTCCTTCACTCTAGGAAGAAATCCCCAAGACTCTGCCCTGTCACATCCCCAGGGCTTCCAGTTTCCTTTCTCCTTTCCAGGGGACCAATCTCTCTCCTGAATTCCCTCCATTAGCACTGATAACAGCACCACACAGTGAGCAATTATTCTGGTACTCCCTCCCCAATCAGTGCTGTTGGTGCACCAGGGAATCTTGCTGAAGTTAGTGATTTCCAAAGAACGTGGGAGCCCAAATCCTGGGGGTTGGACTACTTGCCCTCTGAGGTTCCTTCCAGCTCTGAGATTATCTCCCTTGAGTGACTCAGGTAACTGATTCTCCTTCCTCAACCTCATTTATTTTAATTCTTTCCCGAATTATTTTCAAATCATTAATAACTAAGTTGATTCAAGGGTGTGTTTCACTAGATTTACTTGTCCTGGTATTGCTTGCACCTGGAAGTGTTGCCATGGGTATGAAAATTGCTTGTTATAGCTCTGGTGTTTGGGGGTGCACTGCTCAACCGGCTAGGGAATGTGACTGCTCATGCAGGCAGAAGGCCTTTGCAAACACTGCAGGCCTGATTCTTGGACACTGGATTGAGGGCTGCCGGTAGGTGCATGCCACTAATATTACGCATGCCCTGAAGGAGGTGTGTGTGTGTGTGTGTGTGTGTGTGTGTGTGTGTGTGTGTGTGTGATGTCGGCCAAGGCAGGCTTATGGAGACATTCCAAGGTGTGAAAAAAGATGCTGGAAGCCGCAAGGGGCTGAGGTCCTAGCCATGCTGTGGTTTACTCCTAAAAGAGACTGTGAACATAAGATTCCTAGAAGGAACCTCCACGCTGGCTTTCAAACTGGGCACTTGAGAATCGCCTTAGCGAGAACCCCACCTATTAAATCGGTTAAACTGATTCTCAGAATCGGTAAGAATTGTGCTGATGATCTGCGCATTCTCCACAAGCTGCCAAAGGGATCTTCCTAAGGCCTAGGTCTCACCATGTCACCTCTTAACTCAATAAAATTTCATGGTTCCCCATTACCTCCAGGACCAAATTTAAAATCCTCTGTTTGAATTTTAAGGCTATTTACAACCTGACCTTTCCTTACCTTTCCCATCGTCTTTCATTCCATTCCCTTCCACCCACTCTACAATGCAGCCATGCTGGCCTATTTGCTGTTACTTAAATACTTCATTTCCCACCTCCGTGACTTTATAAGACTGTTCCCCATACCTGGAATGGTCTCCCTCCCAAACTCCAACTCTTCAAATCTCTGGCTTTCTTTAAGACTCAGCTGAAAAGCCACCCTCTCCAGGAAGCCCTTCCTGGATTACCCACATGCTAGTGCTTTCCCTCTGAAATTATCTTTCATAGGTAGTGAAATGGATAGAGTGCTACACCTGCAGGAGTCAGAAAGACCTGAGATCTAACTCTGCCTCAGACAGAGTTCCCTTGGGAAAGTCACTTAACAGCTCTCAGCCTCAGTTTCCACATCTGTAAAATGGGAATAGTAACAATACCTACCTCTCAGGGTGTTTTAAGGATCAGATGAGATCATGTGTGCATTGCTTCACAAACCCCAAAGCACTGTATAAATGCATCTCATATGTTCTGATTCCTATATTTTGTCTGCTTCATTAAAATATAAGCTCTGAGGGTAGACTATTTTTGCTGTTTCTTTGTATCCTCAGAGCTGGTACCATGGCACACAGTGAGTGCTTAATGAATGCTTATGGATAGATTTCGAAGTTGTCACTGCTTCCCAATGGTTTTGGCGGGCTGCCTGTCCAGGCACAGCCGCCTCTATTGTTTTCCTCTTATACTTTTGAAGGAGGAGAGAAAAATGGAGCTCAGCAGGGGATGGGAATTCCTATTAGTCACCTGGGGCTTTTGGAGCCCCCACTTGAGAACAGGCATCTCATTCTCCATTGTGTCATATAGCCCTCGGGGAAATGTTTTGGGGGAATAGGCATCAGGGGTATGAGAATTCTGCCTTGAGCATGCTGGGATGGGGGTGGGGGATAGGGGTGAGCTGCTCCCATTTGGTTGCTAAGGTTAGGAAGGCATTGGGAGCCTCTCTTCACTCAGAGCCTAGAGGGGCTTGAAGGAGAAGAGCCCCACCTGATCTGTCTGCTACTTTACCCTCTTGGTCTCTCGCTATTCCCTTTTCCTTTGGAGCCACAGGAGGCGGGAGGGGCAGCGCCAAAACAGGTGAGGCGTGTGTGTGGAAAGGGGAATGGAACAAGACAGGGATGCTTGAAAGGAGGAGGTTGCAGCTGCCAAAATCTATTTTTCCATGGAGACCAATTCAATCCACTTTATTCTGCCAATTTTCCACACCAGGAGTTTTCGGGCCTCCTGACCATGAGGCAGAAGTGTAGCTTGAACAAAAATCTGCATTTAGGTTAATGACTAGATATAAATTCAAGAAACATTTAAACTATTTTCACAGTCCTGGTTTTGATACATGAATTTCATTTGTATTTATTCTAGGGTGTTATTTTTTTCCAGATAGTTTCTCTCAAGTACAACAATTGTTATGTATAATAATGTATTTTCCATCCCAGATTCCCACATTGGTGCCAATTCCTCTATTTTAAAGGAATTCGGCTTAGAAGACAACTTGGAACAGAAGCCTTAAAAGCTGCCCTGAGTTCTGCTCTCTTCCTTCAAGCTCTTCTTTTAAAATGTCCTTTTCCCTCTTTTCATGAAGACATTCTAATGACTGAGATCTCCCAAATTTTCCCCAGGGTTATATCACACAGCAGAGAATGGGATACCAATTCTTGAAAAGTCCCATCAAATCTCCAGGTTCATAAGAATGTTTGGTTTCTGTGCTTTGTAGGCCTTATTGATGTTAGGTCTTGCCCCAACCGAATTCCACGGGGCTAATTACTGCAGAGATTGAAGGAGATTATTTGCATAAATAATGGAATTCAAGTCATTGCTCAACACGTCTTTTGCCTTTTTATTCTTCCAATACCATATAAACAAACAAAAAACAAGTCTTCGCTGTGAAATCTGACTCTGGCTAAATGTGGGTTGGCCCTGGGTCAGTTTTGGCCCCACTGATCCCAAATATCCTCTGGGGATGGTGGTGACGGAAGAAGGGTGAAGGAGAGTTAGACATCTGTCAGCCTGGCTAGAGGAGGTGGTCATTTTGGTTCCCATCATTTTTAAAGAGCTATGAAGATCTCGGGGAGCCTCCTTCCCACATTCCTAGTATGCAAGATTCGCTATTACCTGATATTCCGTCAAATGGATCTCTGGTGGCCTTTCCATTTTATACTTTACTGATAACATGGGAACTGATGGCCCTAGTAGCTGTGGTGAATTCCCCAAATGCCTTCTGAATCATCCAGGAAAGCTGGATTTATGTGTTCAATTGTAGATTGATTGCTAAAAAATTAATTTGATTCTTAATTTTGGGTTCAGGATTTCACCCTTGCAATGGCTAGGTCATGCCATCCCAAATGCTAATGGTGGGAGACAGGGGTGGGTTTCCATTAACAAGGATACAAAATTTCAGGGCAACAGAGGGAACTGAGGTGATCATAAGCATCCTCCAATTGCCTAGACCATTAGTGAAATGAAAAACTGAAGGCTCCTCTGTCTTCTTGGGATGGATCCAAATGCGTTAGATCTATTAACAGCCTGCATGTAGGTGATCCTGCTTAGGCCCAGCTTTACTCTAGGAGGGACAAACTTTAAGTGGCTACTATGAGGTGATACTTTAGATATCAAAGAAGGGATGAGGTTAAATTGGAAAACTGAATGCCCATTCAAATCACCAATACAATGGGGAGGAAGGCCCCTGTGCTTTGGGGAGGTTTGGTTCATTTTTTTTCTCTTTTCTCTGTTCCTCTCCTACCCACAGAGAATTCCATTTTCTTCCCCTATTCCAATCTATTTCTCTTTCACTGTCTGCCTTTCCTCTTTAATAAAGCAAATGCCACTGGAAATGGCTCTCTTATGGCCCCAGTGTCCCCCATCAGTGTGGAGAGCTGGCCTTGGTGAAACGGAGAAATGAATAGTGCTCCTCTATTCACTTGAATGGGGACTCAGAGAAATGGGGATTCGGGCTCTTAGAGACTGTGGGGACAAATTAATCTGCAAGGTGACAATTGCCAGTGCCCGCTTGTGGCTGCGGTTTCCCAGTTCCCAACGCCTGCTTCTCCTAGGGCTGCCACCGCGGTTGTATCATAATCTGTGGTAAGTAAGATGTGTGCTTGCTGTAACCTCCCAGGTCGCGTCACTTTGGATTGCGCCCAGTCATGTCCTATGAGCAGGCTGACTATCAAGGCTCAGCCCTGATGGGTGAGTCTGTTCCGATTTGGACAGCCGAGATCCAAGGCATGACAAATGCAGGTAATGAGCACATTAACTTTCTAGGAGGGACCAGAGATTCTGGATGTCTCTGCCAGGTTGATGCCTTCAGATATTTCAATATCAATGTACCCAGTGAGCTCAGGATGGCCCAATTAAGGTTCCCCTGCATGACATGGTGTTGATTTAAAGAGGCCAAGTTGGAAGAAACCATCCTTCTTTGTCTGCTTGTTTCTAAAAGGTGAGTCTCTAGGACCCCTCCTTTACTTATCCCCACCCCACTTTTATAGGATGGGTTCTTAGAATTATGATGTGTGTG